TATTTAGTATCTGTGAATATTCAAGACTGATGTCATTGTTCTCTTAAAACACAGGTGGTTTTTGTTTTTTTTTTTAAATTGTCAGTGTTTAGGGTGCTTGCACTTGGTACTGATATATGAACACCAGATGTGCTGTCCTACTAATGGTTAGCCAACAGCTAGCTAACAAAACTGACAGAAGCAGCATTGTGTTGCATTCCAAAACTGAATTTGCTTCTATGAATAGTTCTGTAAAACTGCAATACAATCACGTAAACTGAAGTTATATTATGCTTGTCAATATGTTTCTCACTAACAGCTACCTACAAACCACAATAAATACATAAATGTGATCTGGATATATACATGACTTTAACAAACAAAACACATGAGCTTACAAATATATGTGTATCAAAGGGAGAATGGAGGAGACCTTCACTGGTGTTCTTCCGGAAGCTAAAATGGCTTTGCAGTGGCAGATGGAGAATCTTTATTAACAAGACACTCCCTATTCTTGTTGAAAGGAATAGTAAAAACAGGTGCAGTTGCAGTGAATGCCCAATACATGCTCCCTACTCAACACAATGATGATATACAGAATACCAGATCTTCTTTGCAGAAAGTTCCTGAGAACGGTCCATATGGTGTGTGCATATACAGACGTAAAGTTTCTTCTAGCTCCCAGAATGCCAAATATTCAAAGAAGATCTTCTTTTCAAGGGGGAGGTGTATTTTAAGCACATACTCGTGCCTGTTCATGCATACGTGTGGAAGATACTAACTATTAACACAGATCTTTGTTTTTTTTTACTGATCAAATTGCAGCAGTAGTTTACCTGAAAGCAATGGGCTGCATTCAGATCAGTAAAAGAAGCCTAAACACTTGGTGTTTGGAGACTATGAACAAGAGCCCTTAGGGCCGGTTCACAGTAGAATCACACAGGAACACAGTCTGCGTTCCTGTGCGATTCCTGTGCGTTCCCCTGCAGCACGATTTGGCATTTCATTCATTTGAGTGGGCTGCAAACCACAACGGAACATACAAAAAGTAGTGCATTCGCTACTTTTGAAAAACACTCCACACTAAATCTCATGGTACTGCTGTACCTTGCAATCTCGTGACCGATCTGTGTTTGGGGTGCTGTTAACAACCACAGCAGATCACAGAGGTAGTGCATTTTGAATGCAGTGCACAGAACATGCCTTAGCCACACCACCTTCTGGTATGAACTGGCCCTTAAAGTTTATCTAAACCCAAAACATTTGTTTTAATTTTGGATACAGTAGGATATGTTTGTTTTTTTTCTTCTTTACTGTCTGTGTGTCATTGGAAACATTTCTCTATATTTCATGTTCTGAAGCCACAACAGAAAGTGAGGAGAAAGCTCCCCAAAGTGAGGGGATATCTCCTGCTCCATAGTTGTTACCAGAACAGTTGTCCCCTTACCAACTCTTTTGAAATCAAATTTTGTATTTACCTTCATTTATTGTCCCACAGATAATGGTCACAAGGACAAATAGAAAGGACAAATCTTTCCAATGGAAACACAGACATTAATAAAGACCTAGGAGTTCTAACCCTTCCCCAATCTACAACTAAAAAAAACATTTCTGGCATTAGGACTGGTTCACACCATAATTCACGCACATTTTTGAATGTTCCCGCGTGGTATGTTTTTGACAGACCATTCATTTAGTGGGCTACCAAATGCGTGGGAACCCACACAAGTTCAGAAGGCATGATTTTTTAAAGCACGTCTCACCAAACTGCATGTTATTACAATACCATTTGTTTTGGTGGCCAAAAAGGCACATACATTTGCTAAATGCATGGGGTTCCATTAACATCAACAGTGCATGTGTGCAGATAGCAGCATGTTCCTGTGGAATGCGGGAAATGCTTCAAGTGGTGTGAACGGGCCCTTAGATGTTTGACTTGAGTCTTATGGACCTCCATGCTGAAGATGTGCATGGATCATAATGCAAGTGGTGTGACTGGGCTGTTAGATGTTTGACTTGAGTCTTATGGACCTCCATGCTGAAGATGTGCATGGATCATAATGCAAGTTGTGTGACTGGGCTGTTAGATGTTGGAACTTAGTCTTCTGGACTTTCCTGCTGAAGATGTGCATGGGTCATACTGCAAGTGGTGTGACAGGGCCCTTAGATGTTGAATTGAGTCTTCTGAAATGCCATGCTGAACATGTGCATGGATCATTGGCAAACATTTATTAGACATTTATTAAACTAGCATAGCAATTTGCCTTTTTTAAATGTATCATCGGGGAATGTAAAAGTAGGGTTTTAGAAAAAAAACAGAACAAAAGAAACCCTCAGTTCTCATCATGTGTTTGGTCTAGCTCACCTGTGTCAATCCAGAGGTGCCAGACAAGATCATCGAGTGACCAGAGCAAAGATGCCAAATTGTGCCTTCTCCCCACCAGGCAGAGCAGGTGGTAGGTGCAACATGCCACACCAAAACCTGTGTGATGGTTGTGGCACACCACAGGGAATTGAAGAATTTTTAGCTGTACACATACTGCCCTACAATAATAATATGGAGCTATCATTGGCAAAGGAAGAAATGCCTTGACATGGGTGTTAGGAACAAAATGTCACTTCATATCAGTGAATTAAGAAAATGCCCCTGCCTCGATGCCAGTGGAAGGAATAAATGGCCCTACATCCATGGTGTTACTAGAGGGAGAAAATGCAGCTGCATGAGTGTCAGTGTGGAAAAATGCTGCTTTGTTGGTGTCAGGGGGAGAAAAAATGCCACTGCATGGGTTGTATCAGTCTAAGGTGGGCGCATTGGCATCAGAGTCAGTGCGATAAGGGAGTCATGGGTCGGTCTCATTGAGGTGCATTTTGCTAAAGGGTCCTGATTGGCTTTACAGGGAAGGGGACCTGAAGGCTCAGATGGTCAGATGGGACTTTTTGGAGCTTTGCAAGGAAACTCTGGGGCTGGAGTTGCTCTCCCTAACCTCCATGTTCTCACTAGCCTCTCCTTTTTTCCTATTTCTAGTCATGGATATGTTACATGACAAGATATTACAGGAAGTAGGGCACTCTGCACTGAGAGGAACCATGTTCTCAGAAGACATCCCCTCTCCATGCTCTCTTCCACCCAGAGTAGGCTGCTATTGCAGAAATTAGAGAGTAGTAAACCCCCTGTCATCTCAGCCTAGGGTTTTTAGTAACCAATCTGTGGCTCTAGCATTGGTTGTTCATTTGGACTAGTTATTACAAGCCTTGATTTGAACAGTAGTCATTGTCTAATCTTGACTTACTAATGGATATGTGTGTGTAGTAGCACTCAATGTTGCGCAAACTAGAAAATTCTATGCTTGTGGAATTTGCTAAGTGTCTGCTATGGCACATACAAGCTACAACATGTATGTACTGAATTTACTAACAATTGCTGTTTACTGAATGCACACTTCAGTGTCCAAACATGCACTAGCTAAGCCAAGGCATGCCTAAAATTAAAATATAAGAGCTAGTGAGCGCGCTAAAGTGAAAGCAGCTAATGCACAATGGTAAACCAAAAAATACTAGAATAGTAATGTAAACGGGGGTGCAGCGCTAAGGACTCAGTAAATATAAAATTCAATAAATAAAAAATATCTCTAATAAATAGTTCATAAATATAAAGATAAAAAAAACAGTTCATAAAGTGACTCTAGTGCTCCTGTTATAGTAAGAACCGGTGTCCGTGCAGTGATTTTGTAGGTAATGCACACTCACTGGACGCGCATATAAAATGCGCCTTTAAATCAATATTCCAGATGTCATCAGTAATGGGTCAGGAACTAGGTGGTCTTTCCTCTAAGGGATGGTAGGTCATCAGACATGATCCATATGGGCTTTATGGATGATCCACATCCGCCAGAGTTCCCTTCAAGGGGTTAAACTGGTATTACTCCCTAATTCCTTCTATGGATACAGGGGTCCGTCCTGAGGCAGTTTGATCTGAGGATTTTCAATATGTGGCTCCAAAGCTACCAGTTCTCTACATTCTCCCAAAGATTCACAAAAACCCTACCCATCCACCGGGGAGACCTATAGTCTGCGGCATAGGCACTCTATGCTCTAAAGTAGGAGAGTATATTGATTACTTCCTACAACCTTTAGTATCACAAACACCTGCTTTTCCTTGAGACACGAAACAAATTCTGAATGACATCAAAAATATCTCCACTATCTCTGATACTTTTTTGGTTACTGCTGACGTTTCATCGCTATTCAGTAATATAGCACACAAGGATGGTATGGAAGCGGCAGAATATTACTTAAATGCACTATAACAGGAGCACAAGAGTCACTTTATGAACTGTTTTTTATCTTTACTGTATATTTATGAACTATTTATTGGAGATATTTTATATTTATTGAATTTTATATATTTTTTGAATTTTATATTTACTGAGTCCTTAGCGCTGCACCCCCGTTTACATGCCTAAAATAAAATGTAATTATCTTAAATGTTTTTTGGGCCTGCCTAACCACCAAGAGCACACAGTATTTTAATGCATATTGTAGGAAAAAAACTGGACCAAGTTCACATGGCTAACAATAAAGCAGACTGTAAAGGCCTTAATTTGGAATCATAACCTCATTGAATTGAATACAGAGGGGTATTGTACTGTGTATATTGTGTCTTTGTGCGCATTCACAGAAGACCAAGCACTAACAGGTGTAAAACAACTCATGTACTGTTGCATAAAAGAGAGATTTTAATTGTATGTTTGCTACCTTTTTTTCTGCAACCGCATACTTTACAGTATTTTTTATTAAAACATTTATCCTGACACTTATACATTTTATTGTTTGGGTCATGTATTTTTTTTTTTCATTTGATTCAATTAGATGTTTAACTGCCTCCCGCCCGCCATATAGTCCAATGACGGATGCAAGGCGGTTTCTCTCGTTCTGGGTGGACGTCATATGACATCCTCCCATTCTCACCGCGCATGCGCGGCTCTGGGAGCGCACAGCGCACCGATCGGCGGTGCGCTGTGTCCCTTGGACACAGCGGATCACTGATCCACGGAAAGAGCCGAAGATGTCGGCTCGGTCATGTGATCAGCTGTGTCCAATCACAGCTGATTGCATGTAAACAGGGAAATGACGGTTATCGGCATTTCTCTCCTCACGAGATGTCACGCTGACAGCTCGTGAGGAGAGGAGAGCCAGTAATCGGCATTCCTCGGAGGGGACATGTACACTTATCATCAGGGCACTGATGATCAGTGTGCCCTGATGATCAGTGTAGCCCCAGCAGTGCCACCTGTCAGTGTCCAGCAGTGCCAGCTCTCAGTGCTCATCCATCCACCTGCCAGTGCCCATCAGTGCCACATCAATGCCACATATCAGTGCCTACCAGTGCACATCAATGCCACATATCAGTGCCCATCTGAGCTGCCTTTCAGTGTCACCCATCAGTGCTAGTCAGTGCCAACTATCAATGCCAATCAGTGCCACCTATCAGTGCCAGTCAGTGCCGCCTATCAGTGCCAGTCAGTGCCGCCTAGCAGTGCCTGTCAGTGCTGCCTATCAGTGCCGCCTAACAGTGCCAGTCAGTGCCACCTAACAGTGCCAGTCAGTGCCGCCTGTCAGTGCCAGCCAGTGCCACCTATCAGTGCCATATATCAGTGCTGCCTTTCAGTGCCCATCGGTGATGCCTGTCAATGCCCATCAGTGCCACCTACCAGTGCCTCCTCATCAGTGCCACCTATCAGTGCCCATCACTGCAGCCTCATTAGCACACATCAGTGAAGGAGAAAAATCACTTATTTACAAAATTTTATAACAAAAACTAAGAAAAAACTTTTTTTTTTTCAAACTTTTCAGTGGTTTTTGGTTTGTTTAAGAAAAAATAAAAATCCCAGAGGTGATTAAATACCACCAAAATAAAGCTCTATCTTTCACAAAAAAATGATAAAAATTTCATATGGGTACAGTGTTGCATGACCGTGAAATTGTCATTCAAAGTGTGACAGCGCCGAAAGCTGGAAATTGGCCTGGGCAGGAAGGGGGTATAAGTGCCCTGTAGTCTAGTGGTTAAAGAAGAATTCCAGGTATGGATATTTTATACGTAGTTACAAGTTCTTCAACGTAACCATGTATATACTATATCTTCCCAATAACCCCGGAAGGTGGAAATCACTCTATTACTTCACTTGCTTCCTTGGTCTCGTGATGAGAGGCCAGTCTGGTGCATTGTCAACACGGGAGGTTAGCTGCTCAGCACGGTTGCCATTCAGAGAATGTCACTGCCCCAGTTCTTCACTGTGTCCTATAAGAGAAGCTTTGCATTCATTAAGAAAACAAATGCTTTTCATGAATGTTTTCATCGGCCTCCATGGAGCTTCCAATCAAGTTCGCCTGAAAATCTGACAGGTGGACCTGATCAGAAAACCTGTGTGCATTTATAGATGGAGTGTGCTAAGCTCATCCACCCTCTGGCTACATTTATTCCTTGAGAAACCAAGCCTCAACATCTCCCCGCCATAGTTCTCCAGTTTGTTCTCACCCACATTTGGGTCACATGTGAACTGCTACCTGAATAATATAGGTGCTCCTGTGCACACACTCCTTCAATTTCATGTTTCATAATAGAAAAGTAATTGACAACCTAGCAGGGAAAATGAATGTAGTTGTTTCAATAGGCTTGCAGATCTGGGAGTGGAAAGTGGATGTAAAACCTGAACAATGAACTGCCCTATTAGCTAGCTTTTGCTTTGGTAAATATAACATTGAGAACATTTTGTTATATCTGTCTGATAAGTGCAAGCAAGTACCTATTGATCCTGGTGGTAATTCACAGCTGTCCTGCATTCTGTGTACATTTCCTGTGTTATCGCAGAGAGTCTAATTAGCTTTTCCAGTTGGTATCTTGGAGCTAGAGAATGATTAGTCTCTTTGTTGCATACAATAGGATGGGGGAGGGTTTTGGTAGTATAGCAAAAGTCAACAGGGCAGGGCTGACACTAGGTACACTTTAAGCACAAGAACCTCACTACCAGGGTCCCTAGTTTATGCTGCAGCATCTACCAGATGTTGAACAATCAGTTATGGGTGAAATGAGCTTTAAGAGTCTTTACCCCCTGAAAAAGAAAAATTGGTCAACAGTGATTGTAAGTATTTGAGTACATTGTAAACTAACCCTTTCTCTGTACTGGCATCCCATTTAATGCACCGGGGTGCTCAAAATCCTGCTGTCAATCAGCTACCAGTCAGCGTCAGGCACTGATGCTTTAACAGGGATACATCTTTATTCAGGACTGTACCAGCCAGAGTTCACACTATGTATTGAATTGCACTAGGAATTAGGAATGTGCATTGTATGTTCTTAAATTGCACCCCATGGCATGTATGCACTACTGTTGGGAATGCACTGCAATCGGTAGTTTTGTACCATGCAATCTGGTGCAAGCAAACGAAATGCGTATGCAACCTGTGTCGTTTGGGGTGTTGTCAACATTGCACTGACACCTGCTGCAGATCAGAAGGGCAGTGCGGTTTGAATGTAGTGTGGGAAACCAACGCAGATTGTGGATTTCCCAGATCGCATTCTAGTGAACCAGGGTTTATACCATACCCCCTAATGCTGAAGTACAAAGGCAAAAAACCTTCAGTGTGCAACTCCCCTATCTGACCCTCCCTCCCCAGTACTTACCTGAGCCCGATCCCAATTCAGCGATGTGCACAAGAGCAGGGGCTCTCCTGGGTCTCCCCCTCCTCATTGGCTTAGACACAGCAGCCATTGGCTCCCGCTGCTGTCAATCACATCCAGTGAGGAGGCAGCAGGGGGGCTGACCTGAGAAGAGGAGGATCAGGGCTGCTGGGTGCAAAACCATTGCATAGAGCAGATAAGTACAACAGGTTTGACCTGAAAATATGAACCTTTAGTACCTCTTGAAATTTTCTAAATGCCTGCTAAAACCTTCTACCTGGTTATTAAAAATACAGTCAGTACCTAACTCCCACAAAAGAGGTGGAGGGTGCTTTACATTTTTCGAGAAAGCTGTTTAATAGTAAATGTTTCATAACTGCTAACTGAAATTTTAGATTTTGTTTGTAAGCCAAGACTTAAATTGCTACTAAACCCTTTCATTTTACTTTAATTTTAGTTCAGGAAGTCCAGACTTACACATAATGTATAGACTGCTTCCTTAAGAATCATATTCTTGGCTGTGCACCCAGTCCCCAAATTGCTCCCTCCCCCATCCCCCAGTTTGCAGATGTCTCCTTTGCCTAGCAAACAGCTAACTGCAAAGGAGGCACCTGTGTGTGCACATTCCTGGCTGGGGCTGTGTTTGTCCATGGAAACACACAGCGCCTGGCAAGCCACACACCTGCTCCCTCTTCCTAGCTCCTAACAGAGAGCTGTGGGAGCCATTCACACCCCTACCCTCTGCAACAGAGCAGGTTGTGGAAGAACCATCAACAAGGACAGCAGGTAAATGTTTGGGGACAGGGGGGCAGAGGTGGTTAGAAAAGCTTTTTTACATCAATGATGTAAATACATTAAGGAAAAAAATGCTTCTACTCTCTAGTGCTACTTTAAAAATGTTCATGTGTACGTGACCTTAGAATTAGATTTCTGAATCCTGAGCCAAACATAGTTCTGATTCGTTGCCCGGTGCTGTCAGTTTAACATTTTTTCATGCGGTGGTTACAAAGGATGGTGTTAAAGTGGTTGTAAAGGTAAAAGTTTATTTACCTTAATGCATTCTATGCATTAGGGTAAAAAAACCTTTTAAGTGCAGCTCCCCCTGCAACCCTCCATAAATACTTACCTGAGCCTGATTTTGGTCCAGTGCTGTACATGTCTGCAGCAGCTTCTCTCCCCGTCTCCCGGCTCTCACAGGCTTGGCTGAGAGCAGTGGGAGCCATTGGCTCCTGCTGCTTTCAGTCATAACCTGTGAGCAGAAAGCAGGGGATGGGGCCGAGCCACGTTGTATGTCGGGAGCGAGCCTGCATGAGTGCCCCCATTGGAAGCTGCTTCTGGTAAGGGTACTTGGTGGTTGAAAGAGGGAGCCAGGAGCGCCAGTGGGGGACCTGAGAAGAGGAAGATGGGGGCTGCTTTGTACAAAACCTTTTGCACAGAGTAGGTAAGTATGACATGTTTCTTATTTTAAAGAAAAAAAGGGAAGCTTTACAATTACTTTAACCCCTTAGTGCTGGCGCCTCCCGGCCCTTTAAGGGGTTTCTGATACCGGAAGGTGGGGCGGGGTTTAGGGTCATATGACCACCATGATTGGCTATCACAGCAGTCACATGATCGGAAAGCTCCCGATCGCAAGTAGAGATTGAGAGCTTTCCGTGAGGTGCTAGTAACTGTGCTGGGAGATGCCGGCACATATTTGTTTACAAATATGCGGCCCCTCAGTGTCAAGGCCCAGCCGCCAAGAGGTCACATATTTGTGTACCTCTGGCGCCAAGGAGTTAAGGTAATTCATCAGAGAAGGTGAGCACAGGAAGGATCTCAGAAGTGTGGACAGTCTCATTCACTTTAAAAAGAATAGGCTTGTGACAACAGAAAACTGCAAACCTGCAACAAGAAATAAGAGTTGTCAGCCTGCCGCATATGTAGTGGGAAAGGTGTGTGTGAACCACAAGAGTGTCACCAAGAACTAACAGTGTATTTCAGCTGTTTGTGTCTTTAGCTGTAACCCCCAGAGTTTATTTTTAGAGGAATACTGAATTGATGAATTTGTAGATGCAGCCTGGTGAGCTGAGTCACTTGTCGATTTATAATATCTTGTATTTGTGAGGTTCATTTGTTTCTATATATCACATTTCTCTTTCTTTGTTTTTAGTATGGGTTTGTCAACCATGCCTTAGAATTGTTGGTGATAAGAAACTATGGCGAAGAAGTGTGGGAAGACATCAAGTAAGTTTATATCTATCTCATATTACTGCAACTTTTTGATCATTCGTACCAACTTTGCTCTAAGCAGGCCACACAGTGTTGGATTTTGATTGGCTACTACAACAAATATTAAGAAACAACCATGTAATTTGTAGGACCATAAAGCTGGATTTATCTAAATGGATTGCTTGAGAGTGGTCAGTTTATTGTTGGTAAATCCAATATAAATGACACTCAGAATCTTGCTTTGTATAACTTTAGGGCTTATGTGGGGTTGTCTGCTTGAATCCCAACCACAACACTACCTGCCTGTTTACATGTTCTCCCTGTGCCTGTGTGGGTTTACCTGAGTACTCTGGTTTCCTCCCACACTCCAAAGACATGCTGGTAGGTGAATTGGCTCCTGTCTAAATTGGCCCTAGTATGTGTATTTATGAAGTGTGTGAGTTATGGACCTACTTGAGGGCAGGGTATGATGTGAATGTACAATATATGTAAAGCGCTGCATAAATTGATAGTGCTATATAAGTACCTGTAATACTTGAATAAATAAATAAACAAACAAATAAATAAATGACTACATGTACATATGTTCACATATTGCCTGAGCCCTGTGTCATCCGAGCTTGATCATAAGCAAGTTAAA